GTGAACTACGGCTCTGTGTAGTAAATGCTGCTCTATCTGAAAGCACGTGATGATGATTTACTGCTGATTACAGAACCGGCTTTACTAACAAAATGCGCATGACAATCGCATTCGATTAATCGTGCAGCCCTAGTCTCTCATAAATGGTCTGCCGTCCCACTGCTCCAAACTCTACCACCCGCTGCCCAACAACCAGAGAACAAAGACAACCAGCTCACAGAGTGCTATATAAACAGCCACGTCTGAGCGATCGTGTTCCCTCAGTTCCAGCTCCAAGAAAACGGGCACGTGAAATACCCCTGATTTACTTTTAGAACTGATTCGGACAAAAACCAGGGGGATTTGGTGTCTCAAACTGGGCTATGCAAGATTAGCAGTATTATGCAGATTGATCAAATGGGGCTTTTTTTGTTTAACCACAATCCTCTGCTCTGAGGCAGTGACCTGCACAAGACAAAGCTCTTTTATCAGCTCTCTGCTGCTCAACTCCACCCAACCCCCCACAACACTCACGCGCTCTCAATCTAAACACCACACAAGGCCTCCCTTGCCAAACTCCCTTAACTCATCCAACAAATGCTACACACTCCGCTCACGGATCTGCAGCCACACAGATCTCTGTCTTCACGACTGACAACTCTCTCTACACATGCACAGCAAGGGCTTTTGGTGGGCCAGAGTTTCAGCAGTTTAAAGAACTTGCAGTAATACAGAGTTTCTGGCCAAAGTTGTTTCATACACCATTTTAACACATCACAGGTGTGCTGCAATATCCAAGCTCTAGATTTACAGCTTGGAGAGGAATAAAAATGAAGGATACTGTAAAACAACATTTTCATAGAGAGAAATTTAAGTTAAACCAGAAAAAAAGAACTAAAAAATAAGTTATTTTGAAGAATGTTAAGGTTCAAACAACATTGGATCTTACTGACATTCATGGTTTGGACAGACAAAAAAAAACAACTGACTTTTTTTCCCCAAAGTATCTTCTTTTGCATATTGCAGAAGAAATTAAGTCATGCGTTTGGAACAATATGAGGGTGAGTAAATGACTGATTTTTTCCTTGTAACTTTACTTTTGTTTGTGGCATTCGAGTCAAAATTGAGTCACATTGAAAATGTACAATACATCTTTTTTTCTGATGAGGGTACAAGAGATTTTAAAAAAATACTTAAAAGAAATTATGAAAGAAAAAGTCATTAAATACAGATGCAATAACACATTTCTAGTAATAAATATATCAATAATTTAAGGACTTAAACAAAAGGGGTCTCCTTTCCCGATTAATTTCAATCACTTTTGGTATTTTCTTAACATCTCACATATTTTTAAAACAACTTCTGTATTATTCTGCTATTAGTTGTTGGGCGATTTATTTCTTTCTATACATTTAAGTTTCATTAGTGGAGTCAGCCATTGTCAAATATATTATATATATATAT